GGCACGAGCCAGCTTGACTACTTTGTAAAACAAGAATCAACTTACTTTTAATTTTTAAATAGCATTTGTTTATGCAGATTGCAGATACTTTAAATCCCAAACAATAATATACTCCCTCCGTCCCATTTTGGTTGTCTTACTTTCCTTTTTGGGTTGTCCCAAAATGAATGTCATTTTTCCCCTTTTGGCAAGAAATATGTGGCTCATACCATTTTACTTCATTCTACTAAATTCTCAACCACAACTTTTACTTTTCAACCACTTTATTAATAACCGTGCCAAACTAAAAGAAGACATCTATTGTGGGACGGAGGTAGTAATATTTAGTCAATAGTTATAGCAAATAGAAAATAGAAGTTAATAAGTTAGTTCATTGGGTATTCATAAATCAATAGTTCTCAAATTAGCAAATCATTCTAAAAGCTAGATTTTTGGAAATAATAACGTATCGACAAATTTGGGACTTCATATTTGTACTTCACTACCAGGTTCATAACTCTATTGTCCTGCATATTTTGTTACTTCTGTATCGGATGATTTAAACTACACAACAATGTAGCTTTTGTTTTTTTAATACATATATATAATATAAATGTATTTAAATTTTGGGCCCCTAATTTTTTAATTTTTTTGAGGCCCTGAGGCACAAGCCTCACTGGCCTAAGGGAAGGACCGGCCCTGCTAAAATGTTCCACCCGTTTCCCACCCTGCACTAAGCCCCTGCATTAACAACTTCTTGAGTAGATAAAAGGGATACTTTCAGTTTGCACCTCATATTATTGTCCAAATTGGACTCTGCATCTCGTTTTTAAAAAAAAAAAATTTTGCACCGCCAACCTCGTATGAAAAGATAAAAAATGGTCCTTCGTCAACAATTTTGTTTGCCTTCAACATATTCCTGATTGAGGGGCACTTTTGTCATTTCATATGGCGTTAGGGGTGCAAAAACAAATTTTTAAAAATGGGATACAGAGTCCAAGTTGGACAATAAAATGATGTGCAAACTCAAATTACCCCTAGATGAAATGCTAAATACTACCTCCGTCCCCCTAAGTTTGGGACAAAGAAGTGTGGTGTGGTTTTTAAGAAAAAGTAGAATTGCGTTGTTGGTATTGAATTGATAAAGTGTAAATAAAGTGGAAAAGAATTATAACCACTCAAATATTACCAAATATGGTATGAGACAAACTTAATGGGACAGACGAAAAAGGTAAAACGGGACAAAGTTAGAGGGACGGAGGGAGTAGTATTTTGCTTTTGGTACCTGCCCAATCAGTTTATTTGGCTTAGTAAATAACTCAAAGCCCATACCCATCCATAGATGGGAGGCACCTAGGCAAATGCCTAGGGCACCATTATTTTTGGGACACCAACTCAAGTAATAATACTAATGTATGCTTGTATATAGGGATTGGGGCGGGCCGACCCGGTCCGTCACTGTGCAGGCCAGGCCAGGGACGCAGTCCGGTAAAAAAAATAGGCGGGCATCAGGCTCCTATTTTGGTGGACCAGCCCGGCTCAAGCCCAATTAGTTTTTCTTTTAATTTTTTCCCATTTGGGTGACTGCTAGGTAGGGGTGGACCGGTTCCGGTTCCGGTTCCGGTTCCGGTTCTGGTTCCGGTTCGGGCCCGGCCGGTTCACGGTTCTGTTTTGTTGGGCCCGAGCCCGAACCGGTAGCCACCGGTTCCGGTTCCGGTTCTGGGCCGGGCCACCCGGTTTGTATTTTTTTTTTTTGCTTCTCCTATTTAACCCCCAACCCATCCCCCTCACCCCCAAACCACCTCAAATGGCCCAAAATACCCAGCCCAACCCAAAAACTTAAAAAAAATTCAAAAAAAAAAAAATATTAAATTCGGCCCGGGCCGGGCCCGAACCGGCCGGGCCGGTTCACCAAATGGAGGGCCCGAGCCCGGAACCGAAGCCCACCGGGCCGGGTGGCCCGAACCGGGCACTAACCGGTTCACCGGGCCGAGTCCATCCCTACTGCTAGGTGGGTGGGGTTGGGCGTTTGGGGGGTTTGGGGGTGGGGGGTTGGGGGGTTGGAATTAATTCGAAAAGACAAAAAAACACTAATTAAGGCTCGAACCTGCCCGGCCCGGTCTCGAACCGGTCCCGGTACAAAACTCGGGCTGGTACCGGGCCTGATGTTTTTGGGCCCGGAGCCTGTCTAGCCCCGGCTCGGATCCCGGACCGGACCCGGCTCAGTCCACCCCTACCTGCATATATTACTCGTACAACAAAATCTATGTATATAGAAGTATTATTTGTATACTCTATACGAATAAGATGATCTATTTGATAATTCAAGTTTAAGTTCCAAATATGAGGGATTAAAGATGGACTAGTGCCGGGAGAATCTCAAATCAGTTTATATACAAAAGTTTGTAAAGTTTAATTATCTTAAGATTTGATGGGCTTTGGGAAAAAAGGTACACCAAGCTCAACATTATCATTGCCCAATTTTAACATCACTTTTTTAGTTATGGACAGATAAAAAGAAGAGAAAAATGAAAAGTTAAATTAATTATGTATACCACATCATCATTATTGGACCTCCTAAATTGTCCAGCCTATTTAATAATTTATTTGTCTCCAATATTTGCACCATTTTATTTTTTGCATTCGTCTCCCTTACAATTCTTTCTTACTTTATTCTTTTCTACTACGCTAGGCCAAAGTTGAACACAATTCCAAAACCTAAAATGAAAAGTGGAAAACTTCACAAACGGCAAACTGGCCAACTCTTATCATCGTAATTCTCCGCCAGCTGCTATTACACCGACTTTGAAATCAATCTCTGATCAGCCATTTATTCCCAATCAAATTTTTGAGTATTTTTTCAGTTTCACACTTTCACACCCTCAACAGTCAACATTAGTTATACATTGGTCAAAGGGAAAACGTTTTTGAATATATAGAGCCATATGAATGTACATAAATTCATTTTAATTCTTAATACAATTTTAGTAAAATTTACTATTTTATATTCAATATAAGTTTAAATTGAATGAAAAATTTGGAGTTAAATTTTAATTTGTGTTAAAGAAATCTGAAAAATATGTAGTTGCCTTTTAACTTTGTGCCATATCTACTATAATGATTGCTTTTAACTTCTGTGTTTGATTACATATATTTACATCTTTCTTTTCATTTTTTAAGCACTACAATTCCTTTGTATATGATTTCTAGTATCTAACAACACTTATTAATATGAAGATTTTAATTTTTGGCCTAAGCTTCCTTTCTTTATATGGGTTTAAGGATGTTTTTATTTAAATTGGTTTTAATACCAAATTAAATTTAAACAAATCAGATTAGACCAGACTTAAATAGAACAGAACAGATTTTGACAGTCGCAAAAAACACACAGAACATACATTTAATTTATCAGACCAGAATATTTCAATCCAACTAAACACATCATGACAGTGTCTCGCAGTGATCAATGGTTCACTAATCACCTCCGGCTACGGTGACTACCGCCTTCAGTGATACCACCGCCGAGAGTGACCACCTTCAATCCGGTTAGTGACAAAGCATTTAGGCCAGTTTCATATTTCAAAATCAAAGAAAAATGAGATGAATCCACCCACGTGTTAACCCTGTTGCCACCCATCTACCCCAATAACCCTGACCGCCGCCGCCTATCTAAAGACATGTTATCATTATTTCTATTAGGGGTGAGCATGAGACGGTACAGGACGGTTATTTCGAAAATCTTGTCCCGTCCCAAAGTACGGTTCTTTTAAAAATTAAGAACCGATAGGCGATACCGTCCTGCATATATATAGAACCTGTCCCGTTCCGTACCAATTTTCGGTACGGTTCAGTACGGTTCGGTATGGTTCTTCGGTGTTATTTATTTCCTAAATAATTAACCCGCGTGAAATATAAAAAACTTTAGATTTTAACATTTATAAATAACTCTACAAAAATTTAAGAGAAGATCTTGCAAGACTACATTTAATTGATCTTGTGTGATCAAATTGAAATATGAAACTAATAATCAAACTATAATAAAGAAAAGTAACATCCAGACTAAAAGGCAAAAGTGATCGTCAAACTGAAAAACCAAAAAGTATCACATCATATGACAAAGAATATGCAAGATTACACATTTGTAATATACGGACATACGGTCACTAACATTTACACTCGGTATAATATATAATATATAATATATTATTATATTATAACACTAGTTTTCGGGACAATTCGGTACGGTACGAGACGGTTCGGTTCAATACGGTTCCAGGATGATTCCGGAACGGTTCTCACTAAGAACCGGTTCTATCGGTTCTGGAAAGGTTCAAGACGGTTCTTCGGTACGGAACGAGAATTCCCAGATCCGCGCTTAGCCCTAATTTCTATCCTTATTCAATTAACTTTTATTAGCTTATTCATCATCATTACCTCAATGCCGCAAAGCCCCCTTATTATTCAATAGAGACTGTTTATGGATGACCACAAGTGAAAATCACGTCGAAAATTGCATGTGCTGACTGCTGCTTCAAAAAAAATGCGGACAATGTAGTGAGTTGTTTTGCTTTATTCCATCATATTAGTTTATTATACTACGATAGTATATGAATACATATCGCCTACCAAACTTTAAAAACATTTTAAAACATTGTAATTAGAGAAAGCTTGCCCATATAAACGGGACCCTTCTTCATACACCCGCCTTGAGATTTGACGTATCTACCTTGCTTTGGCAACAAAGCAAAGTATCAGCCAATAGAGGCCCTCCTATCAGAAACTTGAACGGTCACCGATCTAAGCATCCACTTTTTTCACCGATCAAGACATCTCCATTTTCATCCGACCCCCATTCCCTGCAAGGCATTCTGTCATATGACCGAGGATCCTAATTCCTTGCCTTGCAGAGCGTCAACATGGACTGGGCTGCCCTTTGGTCACACTTCATTGTGTGTTTTGTTTTCTATGTAATACCTAAGAGGCCTTGTCCTAAATGTGATATGACTGTTTTTCAATTGTCCGTCAAATTAAAACAATTTGTTGCATGTTCAAGATTGTCTGAGTTTATGTTTCTGTTTTTTTTGTCTTGAACCAAAATAGATTTACCCACTTTTACATATAGAACAAAGCGCGGAGCTATAAATTCCTAGCTCAAAATGAGCAGAGCTCTGATCATTCCCAAGTTGATCATGCATGAAAAACCACTTCCAGTTGAGATCCCTATTTGGGAGAAGAGTCCTAAGTAGACATTTACTCTTCAATAATTTCATCATCGCCATCCTCATCTTCCTCTTCATCGTCATCGTCATCATCTCCAGAGGGAGGAGGGTGTCCATTAAGATCCACTAAAACCCCATTGGGCTTCCTAACAAACTGCCCACGCACCCGAGGCCTCCTATCTGCCAGTCGTTTGCGGTTCACATACCGAATCTTCTTGTCAAAGCAACGCGCCTTCTTCTTCTCTCTGAACTTCATCAATGCAGCCTCTCTACGATTCATTATTTTACCCACCTTACCACCATCAACTGTTGAGGAGCTTCCATATGATGATGGTGATGGCCATGGTTGCACACACATGTTCATTGGATAATAGGTGTATGAACCCATTCCAGGCATCACCACATGATTCATCATTCCCGGGATGTAATATGGTTGGGGACAAGAAGTGTGGGTATGCAAACCTGACATATCATTGTGCGAGTCATATGGTTGATGCGTATGCACTGTCTTAGAGAAATCATCTGTTTCCATTGAGAGAGAATCTGGAATGCTGTTACTGCTCCTTGGATAGTCATCTCCTTGTGAATAATAATCGACAGCTACGGCTTGTTGTTTGGTCTCCTCAAAATTCCCACCCAATGCACTATTTAGATTTGTATCAATACTTAGATAATGATGCTGATGAGAAGTGTTTTCAGGGACAGCACATTGGTTAGGGTTTGACTTGACGTATGTAAAGAACGCAGAAGGCCCGCCTATTTTCAATTCACTCTTTTTTGGAATTGAACAAAACTTTCCTGGAAAGGGAAATTCAATATAGATGATTAGTAATCCTAGTGTGGCAGATTAAAGAAAGATAATTATGTCTTATTGGAAATAAAAAAACATTATGATGTGATAAATACGATTAGGTAGAACTCACTAGGGGCATGATATTCATGTCCACAAGGAGTAAAATGTTAGGCACTGGCACAAATCAAAGCTAAAGCAGTAAAGGAACACAGATCTGATAACAAAGAGGGAAATAGACGTATATTGATAGTGAATATCTCGACTTAGGCAACAAGGCAACTCAGGCAACCGGGATTCTCAAGGCAACATTTAATCAAATAACAGTCTACCTCTATACTCTATTCCCCCCTTCTATTTATAGCAATTCTCCCCACATAAGGATATGCCAAATATTACTAATACCCCTTCCCTTCTATTAATACTACTACAAGTACCTTTACTATTATTATTATGATTATTTCTTATTAATAGCCTACTAAACCCAGATTCCTAACATAAAATAACATCATGCATAACCAAATACTCAGGTACAATGACATCCCTATTACTTCATCACTTCATGTATGATGCTTGTCATTTTTATTCCAGCTTACTTTAGAAACAAAATTCAGATTGAAAAATTTAGGGTTCATTTGCTCACTTTTCCAGTTTTATGTTTTCACAAGTTCGAATTCCAATAGTTTTGGTTTCAACTTTTTAGTATATACTCCCACTGTGTTTTATTAATTGTTCCCATAGATGTTTCATGAACATTAAGATGAAAGTAGTGCGGGTAGTGAATAGTAGGGCAGAGATGATTTAAAAGTAGAAAGAGTAAGAAGAAAAGATGATAAAAGGGAATTTATGTAAAGTTAAGGATAAAAGTAGAGGTAAAAGTTGTCAAGTTAGGAAATGGGGTAAATAATTAAAAACTTCTCCAAAAAGGATTATAAGGTATATAATACGAAGTATATCACTGATCTCATATATCGTAGTTGATGCCAAGTTCTTTTGGGACTAAGGCTTGAATGTTGTTGTAAAAAGAATCTAAAATTTATTCTTGATACAACAGTAAGGAATTCTAAATAAATTATAAATAGAGCCAAAATTGGAAACACATTTGGAACAACTTACAGTTTTTCTTTTCAGAAATTGGTAACAAAAAGAATATAGGGAAGAACATTTTATTTTTCTCTGTTTAAGAGTGAAAAGAAATCCAAAAAACACATTACCAAAATTGTCCTAGTCAACGAACATGATAATGTGATTTCAAATTTGGGCTTTATAATAGAAAGCAACAACAGAAGAAAAATCATAACCTCAATACACTAACAAACATGAAGAGTAACACAAATGCATCCCTAACAAAGTGGATGGGGGGATTGATAACTTTATGGATAGCTATTCGAGTTGCTATAAGATACAACATTCAACAGAGGGAAAAGGAACAAATAAGCCCTTCTACTATTTCCAATCCATCACATAAGCCCTTCTACTAGAAAAAGCATCATATACGTATGCTTACTTTTTCAAGTTAGCCGGTCAAAATGGCTTGATTGATTGCATAAAAAAGTAAGCATACTTATATGATGCCTTTCTTAGCAGAAGAGTTTAAGTGATGGATAAGAAATACTCTCTCCGTCCCGTAATTAAGTTCCTACTTTCTTTTTTGGGATGGTCCATATTAAAGTTCCTACTTCAAACCTTTCCTTATTTGGCAAATGATTTACACTAAAACAGTGCCAAACAGTGTTAAACAGTGCCAAACAGTGTTAAACAGTGCCAAACAGTGTTTAAACAGTATTCAAACAGTGCACTCCACAGTAAAGTCAAATTTATTTCTTAATATGTGTGAAGTCAAACTAGGAACTTAATTAAGAACCGGAGGGAGTACTAGAAGAGTCTATTTGACCCCTCTCCCTTCAAGGGAGGGTAAGTAGTAAGTACTTTGCAAAGACCTTGTGATCACGTGGCAAACCTCTCCAATTTGGTTAAGAGATTGCAGGTACAGAACTCACCCGTTAATCACACCAAACAGAATATACACAGAAAATAGTTTTCTTTTTTAACAAGAAATCAGTAGATTGTTTCTGTATTTTTTCCCCGTAGATTGTTTCTGTATTTGAGTAGAGAATCACTCACCTGTCTTCTGATGGCTACTTCCTGATAGACACTCGACTGAACCCACAACTGCAGTCTCCCGGTATGCAGCACTTGTTGTGGCATTGGCCTGAAACGTTTTAAGGAAAAAAGTAAGTGTACACACCGACAAATTGCGCAATTTAATACTACCTCCGTCCAAACTTGTTAAAAGCGACAAAAAGCTCCCAAAAGCGACAAAGCGCAGGCGAGCGTTCAACCTACGCCTGGCTTTTGAAAAGCGGCTCGTCGTGAGAAAGCGAAGCTTTTCCGGCGCTTTTCTTGAGTTCGCTTAATGGAAAAGCGATCGCTTCTATACGCTTCTCACAAAAAGCGGTCCAGTCAAATTTTTTTCTCCAAAATTTTGGTCTTCTCATTTCGCCGCTACAAGTTAGAGTTGGAGTTGTTCGACTCTTTCCCACTCCAGACAAAGCGGCACAATAGAGTCCAGCAAAGCAGCTGCTGAAGAAGTCCCAGCCTGCGATTGAATATTTCTGCGTTGATTCCAAGTCACGACTTGCAGGTGAAGAAGAGTTCTCCCAGAATTTCAGGCTGGTGAGCCGCAGGTTCAATTTCATCCTGTCTGAACATTGTTCATCACTTTTACAATTTACTCTGTGTTTTTAGTTGGAGTTCAGACTTCCGCAGCCACTCTTACTCTGTTTCACTCTTACTCTGTTTGTATAATAAGCTTCTAAAACAGCCTATATTATATACTCTTACTCTTGTTTCTATAATAAGCTTGTAAAATAGCCTATATATATCTGTATAATATAATGAAAGAAATCATTATATTATCATTTTCTTGGTAGGTATAGTATTCCTTTTGTTGAAGAAAGAAATCATTTTTCGTGGTAGTAATTGTACCTATTATTCTATCAGGTATTAATCTAATACATTATTTACAGAAAGGTCAATTTATCTTCACATTAGTTACTCAACTGTATTCGGAGCTAAATTAAATTCCAGTTTATTCCTTCCAGTTTATTGATTAATTAATCTTTAGTTTATTCAGTTTATTCCTTTTACTTTATAGATTAATTAATTTTTTGTTTATTCCAATTTATGCCTTTCAATTTATTGATTAATTATTTTTTACTTAATTACTTAATTTCAGTTTATTTCTTTCAGTTCATTGAATAATAACTTTTATGACTACTTATGCATTTTTGGCATAATTATACATTATATATTATATTTTTTATTTATTTTTATAAGCATCGCTTTTTGTGAGAAAGCTACGCTTCGCTTAGCGCTTCCGCTTTTAAGCAAAGCCCAAGGTCATCGCTTTTGGACGCTTTTCGCTTTAAAAAAGTTTGCCTCCGTCCCAAAATTAACTTCCCGTTCGGTTTACGATGCTTGACTGACGATAAAGCAACTCGATCCCTGCTCACACTCGGATTATTTTTAGTAAATAAAATTTACATATTCAGAAACTACATTAAAGTCGCTACAAAGCCTGATCAATAAAATTTAAATTTGATAAAAATTTGATATAAAAAGTAAAAGATTACGAGTGATTCAAGTTGACCAATGAATAGTGACTGGGAAGTTGTTTTTGGGACGGAGGGAGTATATATATAGTACCTCATGGAAGATTTGGAAGGAAATGGCTTATTTATGTTTGACCAAACTTTTTTAAAGCGAAAAGCGTCCAAAAGCGATGACCTTGGGCTTTGCTTAAAAGCGGAAGCGCTAAGCGAAGCGTAGCTTTCTCACAAAAAGCGATGCTTATAAAAATAAATAAAAAATATAATATATAATGTATAATTATGCCAAAAATGCATAAGTAGTCATAAAAGTTATTATTCAATGAACTGAAAGAAATAAACTGAAATTAAGTAATTAAGTAAAAAATAATTAATCAATAAATTGAAAGGCATAAATTGGAATAAACAAAAAATTAATTAATCTATAAAGTAAAAGGAATAAACTGAATAAACTAAAGATTAATTAATCAATAAACTGGAAGGAATAAACTGGAATTTAATTTAGCTCCGAATACAGTTGAGTAACTAATGTGAAGATAAATTGACCTTTCTGTAAATAATGTATTAGATTAATACCTGATAGAATAATAGGTACAATTACTACCACGAAAATGATTTCTTTCTTCAACAAAAGGAATACTATACCTACCAAGAAAATGATAATATAATGATTTCTTTCATTATATTATACAGATATATATAGGCTATTTTACAAGCTTATTATAGAAACAAGAGTAAGAGTATATAATATAGGCTGTTTTAGAAGCTTATTATACAAACAGAGTAAGAGTGAAACAGAGTAAGAGTGGCTGCGGAAGTCTGAATTCCAACTAAAAACACAGAGTAAATTGTAAAAGTGATGAACAATGTTCAGACGGGATGAAATTGAACCTGCGGCTCACCAGCCTGAAATTCTGGGAGAACTCTTCTTCACCTGCAAGTCGTGACTTGGAATCGACGCAGAAATATTCAATCGCAGGCTGGGACTTCTTCAGCAGCTGCTTTGCTGGACTCTATTGTGCCGCTTTGTCTGGAGTGGGAAAGAGTCGAACAACTCCAACTCTAACTTGTAGCGGCGAAATGAGAAGACCAAAATTTTGGAGAAAAAAATTTGACTGGACCGCTTTTTGTGAGAAGCGTATAGAAGCGATCGCTTTTCCATTAAGCGAACTCAAGAAAAGTGCCGGAAAAGCTTTGCTTTCTCACGACGAGCCGCTTTTCAAAAGCCAGGCGTAGGTTGAACGCTCGCCTGCGCTTTGTCGCTTTTGGGAGCTTTTTGTCGCTTTTAACAAGTTTGTGTTTGACATGAGAAATATTTATGTTTGAGATGAGAAATAACCATTTTATACCACTACCATTATCATCAGAAAGGAACGATTTATTATTTTCATGAAAACACGCCTTCTTTGAAGATTGACTATGTTTACGGATAAAATACGGATAAAAAATGGGAGTAGAATTGGAATGAAAGAGTATTTGGGGGGAATGTAAAAAAACCGTTCAAACTCAAAAAACTTAGTTTACACATTTGTTCATGTGCATTTTTATTTATTAGTTTAGACATTTAGGAGATATTTTTTCATCATTTTAATCTTTTTATCTTATGTTATTTTCTTTTATCCTTTTTATCTTATCATTTTTATCTTTATCTTATCTTTATCATATCTTTTTATCTTTTTTTTTTCTTATCTTATCTTTTTAGCTCTGATTTCATGTGGCGATTCATGTTAGCCGACCCCAAACTCTTTTGGAACTAAGGCTTGGATGTTGTTGTTATGATCACTATAAAAAAAGGGCAGCTAGGTGCCTCGGCATACGAAGGCATCCCCGCGAGGCGAGGGTCCGGGAAAGGGTCCCACCACAAGGGTGTAAAAGGGGCAAGTCTTCCGAAACTTGAACCCGTGACCTCTAGGTCACACATTAACACTTCAACCGGTGCGCCAAGCTCCGGTCACACAGCGGATAATCACTACGAAATTTAAAAGTACGTAACCTTTTTAAAAACTAAACATATGTTCCTTCTTGGGCTCCAAGGTAAAGCCAAACATAAGAAATAACTTTCCTTAATAATTTAAATTTTTGCCCTATCATTTTCTGATATCCAAACATACCCTAAGTGGCTTTCCATTTTTCAGCAACTAACACTTTAACCCACATAAACTGACTGTAAACCAAAGAGCATGTGGTGAAGAAGAATGGTGGTTGATCAGTTTTGGTAAGTCATTGATGGATCACTCATCTATGCGCTTTGAACTTGGTCAGTTTTGGAAAGTCATTGATGGATCACTGATGTATGCGCTTGGAACTTTGGATAACATAGAGAACTGCTGAAACCCAACTAATACTATTTGGATAGCATCATTTAAATGTTAGTCAAGCTTTTTTGTTAATTTACTGAAGAGGAAAATGGAAGCTAGAAGCATTCCTTATTAACATAGACTCTGACTTTCTGTTTATTTCATGACAATGAAGGCTCAAAGCATTCCTTATTAATATTAATAACATAAAAACGGATCACGGAGTCCTGGATAGTTCTAGTGGTTCACCTCATCTTCCTGTTGTGAGGAGTGACTAGTTTCTGGATTAATGCTTTTATGTGACTTTTCATCTGTGTCATCTGAGAAGAGTGTAGTGCTGTTTGTGCTAGCATCACTTGGGTCTGATATTACCAAATCAAAGTCATAATTTATAATGTTCTTCTCCACTAGTCCAAGCTGTCAATAAACGAAGAGACACATAATAAATGATTATTCTACAACCTCTATACATATTGTAGCACAGTAGCAGTATAACGCTAACTACTTTTTGGTTACCCAAATCTTTCTTGAATTGTTAAGGCTATGTCCAGAACTTGGATAATGGTATGAAAGGAAAAACATCAAAAGGAAAATTGCTTTTATGATGTTTGGTATAGTTTGAAAAATATTACCGCAGATAAAATTTGGTTAAAAGTTTTGAAAATATTACCAATAATCAGATTTCTTATTCTTTATTATATAATAGAAATATTTAGATAAAATGACTATGAACAAATATTTAAAATTGATATATTGAGTTTGAAGCAGCTTCTAATTTTCCCTCAATTTTGTTTTCCAAATTTCATCACTAAATTTGTTCCCTAGAACGTTTTGAGTTCCAAACCAACCCTAATACAAAGATGGAAAAGAAGAATATAATGTCTAACTGTGAGTACCATTCGCCTTCTTCTCCACATATGAGTCCACAAGTTCAATAGTTCATTAGTGCGGAGAGGCTTTACAAGGTAATCAGCAGCCCCCAATCTTAAGCATTTCACAACAACAGATACCTCATCTTGAGATGACATCACTGCATGAAAAAATGGATCTTTTATTTTAACTCTTGAATTAAAAGTTGAGTTTAAAAGGGGAAATATGATTAATTTGACTTACTGATGACTGGAATTCGCCTTAATTCTTTATCCCTCATAATGTATTTCATCAACTTCATACCTTTGGACATGGGAAGGTCAACTTCACACAGAATAATATCAATATCAGGTGCTTGTGCATTTAATGCATCAATGACCTGTCTGGGCGATCTAACAGAAGTCACTGCAAATTAAAACTCACTCAGGCTCGGGAAAAAAGAATCTACTAAAAATCTATTTCATCCCTATAAGGAAAGAGGGTGCAATGAAAATTTATCTTTATTAAAACACACGTGTTCAACAATTTATTGACCTAGAACCAGGAGTTTGAAAATGTTTATTTTGGGAGTAAGATGGCAAGCTAAGGTCTCCTTTGGATCAGTGTGTAAGAACTCCCAAGTTCTATCACAACTTGTAATTGTGGGCATCACATGCCTCCCACATCACTTGGGTTTTGTGAGCTTCCTAGAAGTTGCGTAGTTCCCTACATTCCAAAATTAATTTTATCTAATCCCCACTATTTTGTTTCTCGTTTCTGGGTAATTCAATTCGTATAACCAAATATATTCAAAACGGCCTTAACTGCTCAATACACTTGCTGACTTGCAGGATCTAATTCGAAAAATCACCGGCACGCAGTACATAACTAAAAGGAATCAACACCAAATAATACATGATCTGTAAGATTATTAACCTCAGTAACCCATTCAAATATTCAATCACCACATCTATAATATTTCACATAAACCATGAACCAAATCACAACTTATTTAGAATGGAAGTAATTACAAGACGTTAAGACGTGATCTTCCTACAGCTTACTAGAAAAGTTAAACTCCGTTCTAGTCCAGAGCACACAGAACACGTTGCAGGATTGCATAAGCAGTAAAATCTGGTGCAAATTTAATCTAATAACAAAAACAGCAAAACAATTGAGGAGTATAACAAAGTTAACTGGAGCTGCAAAAGAGAGAAGATTCAAATACCTTGATATGAACATTTGCACAAAAGCGTGAAAACTTCCCCAGAGCTCTTCGAATCATTATCACACAGCAAAATTCTAACTTTACTCCTGTCTATGAATCCATCCCCAGTCTTCACAGTCTCTTTGTTCTCCATCAAGGCCACTCAAAAGAAAAAAGAAGATATATATATATATATATATATATATATATATACACGAATTTTATGTTCTGGAAGTTGGGGTTCTGCTCGAAACCATAAAAATCCAGTACTAAAGAAGCTACGTACAGAAAAGTTGTTTATTGACTACCAAGACCAAATAAGGCAATGTTTGAGAACTCTATTCACAGATCAGGCTGTAACTCCAATCAAATATCCGAAAAGTAGCCCAAAAATATCGAGCATAGTTTTCTAATTATCATCTAAAGTACTGTTCCGATTCGCACCGGCGGCGCAGCTTATCTACAGGCAATCTATGTCACTCAAGTAAACCGGGAAAGAGCAAAGTTCTGGCACCTGACGGAAGAGATTTTTTTCTTAAAAGAAGCTCTGTTACCCCACCACCACCGGAAGGTGTACGGTAGCATGAGAAGAAAACCTTTGCTCTGCCCTAAGTACGGTTTTCTGGTCCTTTTCGGAGAGAAGTCATACTCGGGAAATTGTAACGGCTGTTTAGCCGCGGTGGTTAGTGCTAAAGTGCGCCGGTTTTATGGATAAAGGATTTGGTCCGTTCGATTGCCAAACGAAGGGAAAAGATGTTGGCAACAAATAGTAGTCTGCGGTCGGGTGTAAGGTAGCAAAATGGTCGACGTGGCAGGTTGGGAGGAAAACGAGATACGAGAAGCCATTGATTCTTTTTTGGATTAAATTGATAACACATCATTCAAATAGCAGATAATCCGACAAAAAGATTCTTTACAATCGCAATCCCTCGAACCAGACTCAGAATTAATCACCCCGACTGAAGCAATATAACTCGTTGATCCATTAATGGATACAATTGTGCCAAAGACGGGTATCGCAATCCTTCCATCATCCACATCCAAATCCACGGTCTTATAGCAGAAATAAAACAAACGAAAAGTCACACAACAAAGAAGATTGTCACGAAAAAATAAAATAAAACTAATGATGTAAAGCTCATGTCCCAATCGGAATTGGATTCTCTACCTTAAGGCAGAGTGCCTTACTGCAATCAAGGGCAGAGATTTAATCCATGACCTTGGGATAAGTGAATAAAGTGGACCCCTTCATCTTCTACCTTTAATTTTTTCATCTAAGGGTTGAAAATGGCCAGGCACCCTCCTTGCCTGCCAAAGCAAGGCAGAGGCCCCTGGTCCGTCCCAATCTCCTGAACAGCACCATCTCCCAAATCCTTCGCCCTGGTACTCACCGAAGTGGTTTTGGGCCTTTAGGCGAGCTTATTGGTCGAAGTCTCGAAGCCCGCCCCCTCCCCATTTTTTGTTTCATCTAGTGCCATAACATCCCTCCCGAGTTGGTCCTCATTTGTTTCAATCTCTACGCCTTTAATTGTGCTCTGCGCTGATTCTGAGATACATTCCTTCCCACCTCCTCCCACTCTACCATGAGACTTCCTCTCCTTTGTATTCGTGCGATCCCTGCTAGAGCTGAAAGCCATTGATTCTTTAAAAAATGTTGTTTGTACATGAGTTGTACATAAAGTGTAGACAATATAAATTTTTAAAAAATTATCATTCCAATTATCGCTCTCCCTTGGCACCAACTCCCCTCCCCTCTCTTTCCGTCGATGTCCCCTTTCCGCTGATATATTTTCACAGCCACTGTTCACTGAAGGTTCTTGCGCACACTTTCTCTTCTTCTCTTCACAGCTCGACGACGGAGCTCGACTACAGACGATAGGGGAAAATGAAAGTGCCATAGACAATGGATTATAGTGTTGAGGAGATGACTTTCATTAGTAGTTACACCATGGGCGAGTTTACCACACATGAAGAAGAGGACTCCGGGTCTGATAGAAGATTAATGTGAACGACGCAAGACGAACGTCGACGACAGAGAGGAACGACATATTTCGGGGGCCGATCATGAAAGAGGTACGTCAAACATACTGTTTGTGTACACAGACATTGAGATGTTTCAGTGCCTGTAGAAGTAAATAACCTTGTATTTGTATAGTTTATGATTCATGCACGTTACACAGACAATTTGGCATAAAAGTATTGTACTTGAAGTGTTGTATGTTCCTTGTCTGTGTACGCAGACAAAATAAAGTAAACATCTGTATTGTTATTGCCTGAGCATAGATTTTTATATAATTAACTATTTTGTATTTGATAAGTCCGTATTTAGACACGCATTTGATGCGTGTTGAGATCGGTTTTTGATGGTTTTCCTAGATTTAAGGTGTTGCAAGTCTCAATTTTAGCTCAAATTATGTTTATCAAGCGTTGGTTCAAGTTTTGTGTTATTTGGAGTCAAAATCATGAATTTTGAGTTCGGCACTGACGCTTGAGAAGCAACCGGGATGATTTGAGAAGCATTCAAGGTTGATTTGAGAGCCTTGGAGCTCACCGGGAGGTTTACGATGAAAAGTTGATGACAAAAGAGCTCTAGAATTGACTTCGGGATCAAAAAAAGATGAATGAAGCTTGAAAACGACGATCAGGATGGCCTTCTGTCAATCGTTCAAGCATATCTCTTTGTAGAAACAACCAATGGACACGATTCAAGTTCCATATGAAATATAACTTCAAGGGATACAAATCATATGAAGACACCTTTGTGAGAATCTGAGAGGAAGAAGGTGAAAACAGACGTTGAAGTCAGATGATCTCCGCTGCGATTTCAGAAAGACACCTTCCACCGTTTTGATCATATCTCTTGATTGGATGATTCAAATCACATTCGGAAAATTGGGATGGATAGAGGACTTCATTATCTACAACTTTCATGCAGGAAGAATTTCCAAATTCGGAAGTTAAGTAGGCACGATCGTGCCCTCAAAGTCAGGCACGATCGTGCGTGAAGAGAAAGCATCGTAGAGCTGCTGCCAGTCAGGCACGATCGTGCCTGGAGGGAGGTACGATCGTGCCTGCCCAAAATGCGCGTTTTTTCTCCGGAGGCACGATCGTGCCTGGCACCGTGCCTGCCTCCGGAAATGCCAATTCAGCTCAAATTTCACCCGATTTTTCTATATGAACAGCCTGTAAACCCCCGTTTTGAAGGGGGAGCTTAGAGAGAGTGCCTAGCACGAATTTTTGAGAGCTTTTCAGCCTTGTTCATCAATCTTTTGGGATTCTTTGTAAGTTCCACCTTTTTAATTAATGACAATTAATTCTTTTTATTCCAATTCCATTGATTCTTCAATTATGAATTGTGAGTAGTTTTAATTAGGGATTTTGGATTGATAAAGGGGTTGATCATGATGTATGGCTAGATTCCTTTTGGTTTAATTGCATGAATGTCGTTTAATTTGTGTTTGAATAATTTAACTGATATCTCTTGTAACCTGGAACGGCCGCTAGAATTACAACTGCTTGTAGAATAAATTAAGAGAGATCTAATTTATTCTAGGACACATTCACACACACTTAATCGTTCACTAAGAGATTAGTAGCGATTAAAGGGCTGTAAGCTCGCTCGTCTTGGCCATAATTTAGGATCCTATCGCATGAGAGATCAGTCGGTCCCCTAATTTATTGTACTCTACGCCGCGAGAACGGTAAGAACTTAGTAGTGATTAGCTAGGCTCAATTAAATCAATTTCATGTAATTAGGCCTAATCAGCCAGAAATCTGGTTACCCCGGAATCAATCCTTGTTCTCTTCGTCATTACTTAAAAAGAACCCCCTAGTTTAATCGTTTTATTCGCATTTTTATTCTCCAGCAACCAATCTCGCACGACGCATTTTTATTTATTTCTTTTTAATCGCTGAATTTAGTTAATCTTTGATTCCATTTAGTTTTTCCGTAGGATTTTTGTGTGCTAACCTTTCAGGTAACTTTCAAAGAGGCATGAGATGAACCCATTCAGTCAAATTCCTGGAGGAATTCCTTACCATCAAACCTCCATGGAATATTCACCACACACGCCATATCCTCCTTACCTTCATCATCAACATTTTTCTCCTCATCAAACTTACTCTCCTGCACCACAAAATATTCAGCCTTCTTATCCTTACACTCCAACCACGCAACCCTTTCATTCTGATTCTTACTATCCTTCATCACAATACCCTTGGGTAAGCGTAAGACCAGGCTCCATTCTTGAATTTATTCTTCTAACTAAAACGCCTGAGGAAATATCTGAATGTTTTAAGGATAGCATTTGTTCCTTCTGTGGAGGAGGTCACTATTTATGTCTTTGCCCTATCAAACCTCTATATGGCCATCCTTTCCGGGAAACTGCATACCCTTCTTCGTCCTCCCCACAATTTACAAGCACAAATCTTTCAGCCACTCCTACATCCTTGCCAAGTAATGAGCCGCAAAATCAATGTAAGAAGACACTTTCAGAGACTCTGTCTGAGTACATAGAGAATACGAGGAAGAGCACTTCTACCATAACGAAGCATATAAATACCATAATGAGCCATCTGGCAGAAGCCCAACTTGAGGAGACCAATAAGGATGATCATGTGAGTGAGCCAGACTGTGAAGGTGGGGATATGATGAATGATACACTTCCTGATGATGTTGAAGATCCTCCTATGTTTGGAGATGAAGAAGAAGATAATAGTGTCAAGTTGTTTTTCCAAGAATACAGGAAAAAGTTTGAAACAGTATGAGATGTAACTGATGAAGTCACAAATCATTGTGATTTTCATACAGAAACCCCCCATCCGTTTGATTTATCATTAGTCTCAACACCTGAGAAGGACAAGAAGAAGATCAGTCATGACGTTGATGCAACTACTGAGGTAGGTTTGGGTATTGAAGATGAGTTGGGAGAATATGATTACATGCTCCAAGAGAGTGGGGGCGAGGTATATGATGTCAATAATGAAGATGTCCTGCTCCACAAGCAAGAATTCCCCTCTTGTACACATGCACTGATCCACTCACGTGATTTCAAATTTGGATTTCTTTGATTCACTCCTTCATGATGATATTTCTATTTATGTGGAGAATGACAACATCACCCGGAGAGATATTGATAAGAACAATGTTAACGAGAGTTGGGATGCCTTCATCGGGAGTGATACAGAGTCCAGAGGAGAGGTTGTGAATTTTCATGATATTTGTGAGGAAGAAGAAGACTTTTCTATGGTGCAGTTTGATTACGGTGTTGCTCCTACTCCTTACTTGGAGACATGTTTTGAGCTTCCGGTGATGCCTAGAGTAATCAAAGTTTTCACTCATGTTTCCTATCCACCTGAAGAGGATGAGAGTTTCATACTTCACTTCTGTGCTGATGAGGGTTATGAAGACCATGTACCACCTACGCATATTCAAGAATTTAAGGATATGCGCCACCTAATGGCATTTGTTGAGGGGAAGCTGAAAACATTGATTACTAGTGCACTTTTACTGTCTTTGCTATTTGAGAGCTTACGAGGTATCGTCGGGCAAATGACGTTAAAAATAGCGCTTCTTGGGAGGCAACCAAAGCTAATTTCTGCATCTTTTGTTTGTTTGTTTGTTTGTTTGTTTGTTTGTTTGTTTGTTTGTTTGCTTTCAGAAAACCCCCGGAAAAAAAACGAAAAAAAATCCGGGGTGTTTTTTGGGTTTGTTTTTGTGTTTGTGTGTTTTGTTTTTGCAGCTCAGGGTCTTGCTTTGGGGATGATGTGGCTAGGATCACTTGACTCAGTTTAGTTCTGCACCGACCA